CTGCTGAACTGGAACTGGGGTGGGAATTGCCAGCAGGCTGAAACATCAGCAATGTCATTTTTGATGGCATTTCTTCCCTCAGCCCCCATCACGCACATTAACTACGCTACTGAATTGGAGCGGGGGCAGGGACCGCAGAATTGTCAGTTTGGTTTCCTTTTCTTATATAACTGTCCCTAACTTCATCTTGGCTAAGGAGAAATTTGAAGATGAGGACGTCACCTTGGGAATGTTGTACCAACATGGGAAGGGGACTGAGCTGATGTTTCCCACACAGGTTATAAAACATACACATTCCACCTTTGTTTTCACTTTCTGTCGTTTTAAAAGCAGCATACTTTAAGGTCTATCACATTGCACTCATGAGATTATTTTATTCCATTTTGTCTTTTTTCGGCAGCAATAGAGCCCCTGAATTTACAAGTCATATGTATCCAACTGACAAAAAGAAATAAAAAAAAAAGCACGAAGGGTTACTTTCCTCCACTACCATAATCAGAAAGTGAAATATTCCCATTCCTTGCTTGCTATCACAGACATTTTATTTTAACATGACGTTGATATATAAGCACCACCTTGTGAAAATGACAAGCGATTGGAGGCATTAATGCAATACAGAGTTACTACCTGAAAACAGCATTTCTGCACGTTAGTACCCTCAAAGAAAGAGGAGAGACGCTTCTGCAGCCACTTCTTAGCAGTGCTCTGTGTCACTGTTAATGTGCTCTGGCTTCGTTTGCCACCGCTCTGCTCGATAGAGCAGTACTTCCCGAATTTATGCTTCCCCAACAGAATGGCTGAGGAAGCACCTTACTACAAGGAATTCTTTCGTCTGCACAAGAGCTGCCCTACACAACCCCAGGAACATTGATGTCTTTCCTCTAACGCCAGGGAGATGCTGAACAGGTTCAGGCAGACGCAGAAATTAACTGGGAGCAGATAGATGCCATCATTTCGGGAGGAAATCGGAATCGTTAGCATCAGACTGGCAATATCCAAACCTGTCACAAGGACACGCCAGCAAAATCATTAAGGGGAGGGGGGATTTCTTGTATTCTCTAACAAGCCCTGAGAATCCCGGGTCTTCCCAAGGAAACGTATTCCTCCTGCAGTCCTGTCGGCAGAGGAGATCAAGCATCCCGGCAGCAGCCAGCCAGCCAAGGGTGCTTCCTTGCCACCAGGGTACCACCGTAAAACCTCCGTCTGGATGCGCGGTAACTATTGTCTGCGGGGCAGGCAGCTGCTTGGTTTTTAAAAAACCTTGGCTTTGCTGCCTAACCAGTGTTTCTGGTTACTGAAAGCAACCCCCTCACCTCAACAGCCCACCGCGCGAGCAGAAGCGGAGCGCGGGATGTCCTGCTTCGTCGGTGGCCTTTTGTTATCCGTCTGAAAGAGCTTTAGCAATACTCCTCTACAACAAATCAACGCATGCTCGCTTCTTCTTGGGATCAGCCCTTTAAAAAATGAGCATGATTCACTTTTCAGCACTTTTAAAAAAAATTATTATTTTTGATGAGGATAAGCCTTCAGTGGATTAAGCTTTATGACCAAGGTACAAGACCTGTGCTCAACAGGCTTCTTCTAGCTCCCCCCTGGTACCAAGGACCACTAAAATGTTTTAAAATGAAGAAAACTTTTTAAAAAAAGTACATATGGGAAAATGAAGTAACCATCTTCTGTTCAACAGCTGTTGCTACTTCTATTTGCTTTTATTTGACTGTTGAAAAACAGACTTCCATCTTAAATTGACTTCTTTGGGTTTTTAAATCTGAATCTGGCTGGCTGTTTTTCGTTGTGGAAAGCAAAAGCAGAAACCCCTAGGACAGAGCTATGGCCAAGTCCTTGTTACTCTAACGCTCGTTGAAACCTGTAAGAGTAGGGATATCCCAGTGAGCTGAGGAAAAGGACACCAGAAAGACAAGCAATGCTGCGCTTCAGCAGGAATTCCCTGAAAATAAACAGGAAAAAAAAAAAAACCCAAACCCAAAACAAACCCCAAACCCAGGACCTGCGTTCTTCCTCAACAGTAATACCACTCCGGGTTCGTCTGCGCTACAACGACGCAGGCGTAGCTACGTCAGCGTCCCCTGCGCAGCTTGCGGGCT